GCCGGGCGGGGAGGGCGCGCCCCACAGGCGGCCGGAGCGGGGCGCAGGTCACCGGTGTGTCCCGAGCGCCGCCTGAGCCCTGCCGATTGGTCAGGGGAGGGTTAGGCAGAGGCAGAGATGTGACAGGCACAACCACAGTGGTCAGCGGGGCTGCGGGGCCCCAGCTCTCGCTCCGCAGCGTGCCCCGGAGCAGAGACACGGCGGGGAGGCGCCGAGCGGCAGAACCGTCTCCCCCGTCTGGTCAGGAGAGACAGGGGCACGGAGGCCCTGAGGGTCCGAGGCGGGGCGGCGTCCCTCTGACGCGCGGCTCCCGTCCAGGAAGGCGGGGGGCTTCGGGGAGCGGAGGTCATCGTCCAGTGGGCGCTTGAGGCCACCGCTCTGCGCGTCAGAGGGGCGCGTCTCACCGGAGTGAGAGCAAAGGCCACAGGGAGGAAACCCCGGACAGAGCGACTGACGTGGCGGCCGAGGGGCACCCCGGGCGTGGCTCAGAGAGGGGGTGGCCTTGAGGCCACTGGGGACGCCTGCTGTCAGAACGGCGCAGGCGCACCACCCGCAGGGGTCCGAGCCCCGCACCCGGACTCGGGTCTGGCTGGCCGGTGTCCGGGCCGGGCCACGTGTGACGGGCGGGAAGCGGGAGCGGCGCCCGCCGCAGATGACGCATTCTCTAGACGCGGGTCGCTGGCCGGCGGCCGCAAGTCCCGAGTATGTGCGCGTGATCCTGACCCGTGCGGGGGTTAAATAAAACTCAAAGGAGAAATCAGGAAGTATTTTACGCTGAAATGGCACGAAAGCGTAACGGGGAGGTTTACGGGGTGCAGCCAAAGCAGCTCTCAGAGGGAAACTCCTACGTCGGATCGTGGCCTCGGCTGCCTTGGGAACTTTGAAGCAACAAGCGAGTGGAAGGAAGGAAATCAGCTCAGGGCCGAAGTCTGTGGCCAAGAAAGCGAAGAAGAGAGGAGAAAGTCAAGGCCTCACAGAGGAAACTGTCCGAGCAGATAAGTGAAATCCACCAACCTGCAGCTAGACTGACCAGAGGAAAGAAGCAGGTGACCGGCACGGCGCAGCTGCGGTGAGGACCCGGGAGGTGCTGAGAAGTCCCCGGTGGCGATTCCGAGAAACGGACGTGGGGAACCGTGGGTTTCCTGCATCCCCTGAGAAGCAGGAAGGTCACATGGGCTACAGAACTTGAGCTGGTGCCAAAGAACCTTCCCCCAGAGGAACTTCCCGACGCAGATCCCCTCCGCCGGCCGGGCAGGTCCCCAGCGTGGCCGCCAGATGGGCCGCCCCGGAGCCAGCCCCGGGCCCGCGGGAGGCCTAGCCGGAGCCGGCAGGACACGCCGGGCGGAACAGCACGCCAGGGGCTGCTGTGAGCGTGTGAGGTGCGCACGGGCACCTGATGTGGGTGACCAGGGTGAGCCAGCGGGGGCAGGGCCAAGGGGCTGCAGGCCGGTGGCCGCGGGGCTGGATGGGCTGGCCGGCCTGGGGCAGGGGCTGCCGTCTGGGGTGCGGCCCCTATGGCAATGAGCCACCACCTGCGCACTGGAGATGACCGGGCAGCCACATTTAACGGCCTCTGGCCAGGACCCATTAATGGGAAAGACCGACCGCTGCCCCCCGTCAGGAGCAAAGTGGGCGCAGCCTCCCTGCAACGTGCTGGCCCCCAGGGTGCCTGCTGGGTGCCGCCGCCCGCACAACCTGGGTGGTGCTCGGACCCGGGCCACGTGGGGGGCTGGCCACGCGGCTCAGTGGCGGCGGCAAGCCGCCGGCGTGGA